TATTATTACTACAACTGAGTTGCCAGTGTGAAGCATGATAATCTGGGAAATCAGCGGGGTGTTTCATAGAGAAGCAAGCTTTGGCAGTAGTGATATATTGTACTTTTTCACAACTAATTCTGGGTGGGTATACTGTGAGAACCTCATTTGTATGGTGTAAAATTTCAATGCAGGCACACAAGGGGCAGTGGGAGTGTAGCAGACAAGGCTTCACTACATCAGCTGCAAGTTGGACATTTCACAGCCATTGTTGATTATTTATATTTGTATCATTATTTGTTTATACTACACACCGTTGTAATTAGTCACTTCCTGGTTTAAGGTATTTAGTAAACCTGTTGTGTGCCGGGCTCGTGTGATAGACAAAGAGGGCGATTTGGCTCAGATACCTTTTGTATGGTCTCGCTGTAATTGATTGTTTCCTTATCTTGCCTATTGGGAACTAGTCACAATGAAGAACCAAACTTAGCCTCTTAAGCAACTTAATTCAGTGGGAATTTTGTCACTACACAGGGAGTTTGCAAACGTTTCACTGTACACCTCAGTAGTACCAAATGCACACCAGGTGGAGCTGATGGTGACTTTATATCGTTTTTTCTACTTTCAAATTGGGACATCAGCAAGTATTGTAAGCAGTGTTCTATTAATGTATTTATATAACAATAGCATGTAACCTAAAGCCACTGAATAACTGAGACAGACTAGACACAGACAGTTACAGAAACACATGTACAGTAGCATTAAGTGCCATGTAACAAAGAAAGGTCCAAATTATCCAAATTGATGCAGAATAGGCTTAGATAGTTTGACTTTGAATCCAAAAGTACCTTCCAGCGCCTCAAAATACATTGTACTCTTCAGCTGTTTTCACAGTATAAGCAGTGACACTTCTTGTGCATCTTATGCCAACTTCATACATAATTTGCACCTGGCAAATACAGTACAGTTAAGGTTTGGGAAAGAGTTTGGTAAAAAGCATTCTCCTGCAGGAAAGTCATATGTGCTGCACACCAGACCAACCTCCACATCCCTACTTCTTAAGTACACTACAAAGGTTTTTCCATCACTGGTTTGCCAGCTGTCCCTTTCTTCATGGGAACATGTTTTGCAGACTGAAAGGGAACACAGTCGAAGCCCTTCTATAGCACACACAGATCACCCTCAGCCATCAGCTCCATCGATAGGCACAATTACAGAACTTGTTTTGCTGTATCATGACATGAGTGTAAGTACAGACTCAGCGAGGGGTTGTCACACACACACACACACACACACACACACACACACACACACACACACACACACACACACACACACACACACACACACACACACACACACACACTGTGCTTAGCTCCCAGTGTGCTGCTCTATCAGGCAGCCAGGCAGGGAGTCAGGGAGCAGTAACAGGGCTATTAGGACTCCCAGGGACCCTATCGATCTATTCATTGATCCCCTCCTGCCTAGGCTAGTCCAGACAATTGCCAGGGTTTATACAGCTACTACAGGCAAGAGCACATGAAACACCAGAGGACAGACATGGGAAGAGACGTAAGAGAGCCACTTAGAAAACTAAACACAAAGAATACGGGTGGGAGTGAAAGTTTAACAAGTTTAAAACCTTCCGTTCCCCCATTCTTGCATATTTTCTTCTCCCCCCATTCCCTTTTTTTTTTTTTTTCTTCACACACTGCTCACATCTAAGATATCTCTTTTATTTTTCAAAAGCATCTCCTAAATGATAAAGTAACACCATGGCTTGAATGGTTTTACAGAACAAAGATGTAATCCAACACTTGGAGCTGAGAGGATTTATAATGTATGACAAAATGGGAGAAAATCAAAACCACAATCCCCAGTGAAACAGAGCATCATGGTTATCGAAACCAGGCAGGCTGGAACCTTCACCCTGCCTACAAATGGATCATATTAAAGTATCATATGTGACTGAAGGACTGAGAGAAACATTTACACCACATGATGCATCCCACTGTGAGGGAAGAAAATACCATCGTTTTATATCTTTATTTCCCATAATTGAATAGTTTTTCTTTTACCAGGCCGTTCTGCTTGGCTTTTGCTCACCAGCCACTGGCTATAGTGAAAGAAAATAATGCAACATCGCCCCCACTGGACCTCTCATGGTAATACTACTGCAAATAACCACTGCAACTAACCATGTACATGCAATCATCTAAACAATTTCAAAATTGATATACACCTGCTCTTTGTTTGTCTTCTGTGCAGATTAAGTGAACCTATAATGAGAGATATTGTGTACTGCTGAGTGTGCAGTGTGACCCTGATGTGTATTAATGACAGAGGGGATGGCAGGTCCCCATCAGTCCAGCTGATTAATAACGACCCTTCACTCCTTCCCTCACAACTAATGGCTCGCTGTCTCTCTCTGTCTATAATTATCACTCAATAATGAGCTCTTAAGGAAGGTGTGTGTGTGTGTGTGTGTGTGTGTGTGTGTGTGTGTGTGTGTGTGTGTGTGTGTGTGTGTGTGTGTGTGTGTGTGTGTGTGTGTGTGTGTGTGCATGTGAGGGTAAGGGAGTGCTTAATTTGAAGGTTTAGAGATGGGGGACAATAGTACTGTATCCATATAATACGGCATGCTTTGCACTGAAAAACTGTAATTAAACAGCTACTGTGTGGAGTAGCTGTAAAGCTGTAATACCAGAGATAATGTCACCTAATCTGTTAATGATGGACTTATAATGAGAGACTGTGGCGCCGGTAATGAGGTTCCCCATCAGTATTTCTTCCGGTTTTCCCCCCACTTTTCAGCAGGGCTCAAACAGGTGCATATAAGACCAACGAGAGACAATGAGGTCACACAGGCCTAAACACACACTTGCATACAGTAGTCATTTTACACAAATAAAACAAGCCTCCAGAGAAACAGAGATAAAACACTTTGAAATAGCATTTCTCACCTACAGTGGATCTGTTATGATGAACAGACACTGAAATCCCCATGAGCAATAATGCATTCCCAGATGAATATTACACTACATCACAGGTGAACACTTGTTTCTGATTATTTGCTGACGCTTTGCTAAATACTGTTAATGCGGCATATTGCAATGATTCTGCTCTTTTTCTCTTACATGTTAGCTCATTCGTGCCATCAATGAAATGCCTCCTGTATTAAAGTATCACAATTTGCCATCTCAGGGCACTGCATGCTACATCACACTGCTGAATGTGCAGCCACAAAGATCTATAATCAACTTAACAGTTATAAGTGCAACTATTAACACACATTACTTGGTAATTTCTGCCAATTAGGAAGCCAATATTCTATCTCACATGGGCATCAGACACAAGGGTTTCCTGTCGAAAAAGAAACGCTGTGGAGCCATTTCTAGATACTACCCAAGCTGAGCTCAGAGGATTAACTCCACATTGATAACACTGATAAGGCCCATAAAACCATTAAACCATTAAACTCTCAGAGTGCCAATAAGAGCTCAAATGAATGTGCTGCATTCAAAACAAGCACTAATTTTCATGAATAATGCCAGCCAAGATTGGCCTACTCATAATAAAGCCCTATTAAATGATGAGTTATGATAATGCTGACCTATATGAGCCAGGTGCAAAGAGCAAAAAACTAAAGGAAAAAGAGTTGCATATGTCATGAATCAGAATATAATTATATATTTTCTTTTGTATTTATAATTTCTTTACATTGTTTAAATACTGTCTGCATGCTATCCGTCTTTGCAAAGCGTAAGATGTGTGTACATTTAGAGAACAATCCACAAAAGAAAAAGCAAATGATTATCAACGTTTGTACAGTAAATGTTGTAGTACATTCCATAATAAAACAACACTCGAAGCAGCCTATGCAGCACAAAAACACATATCCAGTCCATGTGCATATGCAAAACCTACACTTAGGAGGGGGATCAAGAAAATATCAACAAGTGTCTTCATGGTAAACATAAGAATAGATGTTTTCAGCACCTGACCTTGATTCAGGTGTGGCCCTTCAACCCCTTCTTTTATTACTCAGCTTTGCGTAACAAGGAAGTCATACTATAAACTGTAAATACGTGTAAACATTGCAGCATAAGCATCAAGGCCAAACAACATGCAGGGCATTTAGAGATGTTACACATACTAACAAATGTTGTATCCAATCCACTGTGCTGGGCCAAAGAGACATGTTGTGCAACACAGCTACATTTTATCAGCTGGCTGACATGACTAAAGACCATCCATTAAATTAAAAAGGAATTTCCCTACTTGGATGTTCATACACCTGCTTGAAATCCATTTCATTGTATTGTTTTGGTTGTTTTTTTAAAGTTAGAATTAGTCCAGTGTGTGCAGTGGAATAATACCAATATGAGATAACGCAAACAAAATGTTCCACTGGAGTTGTTGGTCTATTTGTAATATGGCTCGTTATAGTATTTGGCAGTGAGGTTGAGTTATAGATTTGAAACGTTTGACATTGTTGAAAGACTTTGACATGGATGTAAATCATTTCATTCCTGTTTGCAGCATCATAAATATATTTTTACATCAATTGTGTGCATATACACAGTCAATATGGCACCAAGCATAATTTATTTTATTCAACCATAAACGAATAATGATTTTAAAGTATTTCACCACGCAAAAGGAAGAGGTTTAAATACACACCGCTCTATAATGAAGTTCAGTCTATGGTCATCCTGTTGCCGAATCAACTATCAGCCTGTGTTAATATACAACCAAGGAGGCAGGAACATCCCAGCCGCCTCCCCTCATGTCTGGAGCGGCAAAGACATTTTCTCAGACAGCTTCAACAACAACAACTTGTTGGTACTCAAACTTGGTAGGAGGATTTACTCCAGGTTGAACTTTTTTTAACCCTGAACAGGTACTAAGGAGATTAAACCACAAAACCTCCCGCCTCAGTGTATCTCTCCATCAGAAGACAGGAAAAAGAAGAACAGGGAACCTGAACACTTCAATAAAGAAGCAAGAATTGGGCTAAAATGATAACAGATGTGAGGAAGCAGCTGTGGTCCCTGGCCCGCATGGCCCTGCTCGCTGTGGGGTGTGTGCTGACCTGCATCGGGGCCTACCTGGTGCCCCTGCAGATCGAGTACAAGTACACCGTGAGGGTCATTCTTGCCTACATCATGATTTTGTTCGGAATCCTAGCTGTGCTCATCGGAGTCTTCTGGAGCATCTGCCACAGCATGAAGAGCAAGATTTACCAGAGAGGAGGACATGAACAGCACATGGACGTCTACACTATCCAGAGGTGAGACTCCTACCCTGCAGCTACAGACACACAACAACAACAACAAATGTCAATGGCCTATTTACTTTCAATGAAATTGCAGAGCAACAAAGCGGCCTTTATGGAAAAAGAAATATCTTAAAACATTCAAATTCATTTGAGAAAAATGGCAGCCTTTAGTCTTAATATTTTGGCTAGTGAAAGTACATTTATTTATATTTCATTCCTATCCTGTCAATGGAAAAACATCTCAAGAATGTGGTGATTTTAAATGTTTGTGATGAAATGTACCTTTTTCAGATTAAAATATTTGTCTAACTTCTTAAGAATAACAAGCTAGTTAAGAAGTTGTAACGCAGCTGAACAAAAAAAGGGCAATATTTGTATGATACTTCACTGGAGACAAAACAAGCCAACCAATAGTTTAAAAAGTAAATCCAAAAATCTTATAATTATGTACTGCATAAGACATGGACCTTTGAACGCACAATGAGTACATTTTACGAAGGTAAACCCTCAAGCAAACCCAATTGTAAAATATTTACTGTAACTGTTAAAAAACACATCAAAAGTAAAGTCACTCTTCCATTCCAGTAGACTGCATTGTTTTACACTATATAAATGTTTGCTTTTTGTCAATACTAATAACATTTCTTACATACTGTTTGTTGATTATGTGTCCCAAATGTGTTTTATATTACATCTGGCCAGATAAAGCAGATCAAATGTATCCTGCTACTCTAAATTCATTGTTTTGTCTTTTGTCTGCTATTCAATGAGCTTTAAAATGTATTATTAAAACCAGGCTTCAATAATGCAGTTGATGTCTTATACGTGTTTCCCCCTGTAGACCAAGTTCCTTCCCTCCATCCTACGAGGAGTCCCAGGGCAGCCAGGAGGGTCCTGACTCAGCGCCGGAGTTTGTTGTTGTGGTTGACGGGGTGGAGGTGGTGATGAGCCTCGCCCCCCCTCTGTACAGCCAGGACAGTTCGGACCCTCCAGACTGCAGGTGGAGCAGGGAGCTGCCTCCTCCATACAGTCAGGTGGAGCGTACTCAGCAGGGGGAGGGGGACGCAGGGGGGCAGAGGGAGGCCGTGGCCGAGCACTGAAGGGAAGACATGTTTTTATCTAACTGGCTGGGAGAAATGCAGGAATGGAGATAGACATTATTTCCTGATTGGGACGAGAGAGAACGTTCTAGAAGAAACTCCGAGACATGTTGATACCACCTTTGGGCCATCAGTCTACGCCCAACTTCTGAAGTCTGTGCTGACCCTACACAGAGTTGCAGGCCTGTTTCTGCAGAGCACTAACAGGTGATTCTGTTTCGAGTCTCTGGTTTCCTAAAGTAAGGTTGAGCTGCACATTTCCGAAAGTAAGGGTGAGCTGCACATTGGAGTTGCTGCTTGGTGGTGTGAAAAATAACCGAGGACAGTATTTATGCAGTTGGACCCATGGATGTCTGAGTTGACAAACAACACTGACTTTTACCTGCACTGTAGCTTACATTTGTATACTTTTAAATGATTACAAGGATAATACAACTGTTTGTATAGGACTGAAGGAAGCTGAGGACTGCTTGTATAAAATATATTTGTTTCTCAATATATCGCCAACCTATGTTAGACTTATTTTTTTATAATATATATAAATAATGATAATTTATTCTCCCCTTCCTCAAGACAATTTTTAATTAATAATTGTTTATAAAGAATCAAGTAAATGTTGTCACCAGTCTGCCTGATATAATGTCAATGTAAATCAAAGTTAAATCTACAATAAATTGTATATTCTTGGCTGGAACAGAAAACATGAAGAGTTTCATTCCCATCACTACACGTCAGGGACAGACAACCGGTTTGCAAATATAAAACAGGAGTTTTCCCACAGACGTGCGAAACAAACAAGACTTTTCAGTCTGTGCAGAATGTGTGCGTGTGGTAAATGTGCTTGACTTTGATATTTTCAAAGAAACAGTTTTAATAGATTGCAGGTTCTCTCTAAAGCACCACCTGTACCTTAGTTGAAAAGTTCAGCGTAGTAAAGATAACATGTTCTGCACCTTCACAGCTTGTTCATGTTCATGTATACTATAAAGAAAAGGGGGGGTTGTTGGCAGCATTTCAATTGCCACGTACTTTAAAGGACTGTATCCATGTAATCATGCCCCTGCCAATTAGAGACTAGTTTCTAACACATTCCAGCGACAGCGTAACGTCTTCATAGTGACACATTCAAAGGTGATGAACTGGCATCGATCCTCAGGAATAATCCTGACAATATAAAACTGTTGGATGGGGCAATAAGCTGTAATGGCTGACTGAGTGAACGTTTCCTTGCGGATATCCACTGGCATATCCTCGACCCATAATGACGGCAATCAGTGTGTTTATGAGTTCCTGCTCTCTGCGTCTCATTCAGGCCATTTAAAGATCAGCCCTCTTTATTTCTTATCTCAACACAACACGTTCACACTCGGCTCAAAAGCAGGTGCTGTGTTCGACAAACAAAAGCTTCCTTTTCCTCAAGGACGTTCAATTACCGCATGATATACCAGCAAAACATGGTGCTTATGAAGACTATGTTTAGTTAAAATCCCAAAAGGCACCATATCTCACACTGATTTATTTGTATTTGTCACCATTAAACCTGTCCGATTCATTTAAAAAAAGATGCATGCTACACACAAAAAAATGTATTTGGATTAAAAAAGAAAGAATTTATATATTCAAATAGTTATACAGCATTCCCAAAAGGCATAAACTGATACATTTAAAATAATGCCAGATTAGCAAAAGTATTTCAAATATATATTTTCATTGCCTCTGGGCTCACTTGGTTATCTTACATTTTGAATAGTCTAACATCCTCCCGCTTCTTCATCGAGCAAGATATGCATTCACGTTATTTTATATCAAACATAAACTAATTGCAAATCAATTCACTGATATATTAGGTTTTATGCTTGACATGTTTTATTTTACACTTAGACGAGTGATTATTTCTGCATGAAATGGTTAAAGGAAATGACATAATATGACAGGACAGGTATACAAGCTAAATGACAAGTGAACACGGCACTTTTATACAAAAACAGCATGGTGAATTAAAAAAATGATCTAAGGCTGCCCTTAGCCAAGAAGTCTTTTCAACTGCAAGTTACAAACATTAACAGTAAGTCTGCACAATCATAAAGGTTTTTCTGTTTGCTAATTTTCATTATTTATTCATGGCAATAATGAAAGAACCTCCCTGGTTTAGACTGGTGTTTTCTATGTCTGACATATGTTAGTGGTCTATGAACAATTGAGAAAACATTGTGCTTTTTTAGCGAAAACAACCCCATCAAGTTTCATTTAAAGAATACAAATGACTATGAAGCTAGACAAAAAGGAATTTTGAAAATTGCAGAGGGTACAGGAAAATGTGTTATGTCTGTGTGAGCAGTTAGTTGTGTGCGTGCATGTGATTGTGAGTTTTCCTGGTTGCTCATGTGATGACGTTAGGACCACGGCGCCCGGTCCTCTCATGGACGTTGGAGATCTTCAGAGCGATGGCGATGAGAGGACCGAGCACCACCTGCAGAGAGGAACATATCAGAATACATGTTTAACAATGATAATTAGACTTTTTATGAAGTGTCACTGTTGTTTTGTTTACTGCTTCTGTGAATATGCTGTATTGTGTTGCACCTTTAACTAATTTTGTAATAATAAAGGCATTTTTGATGTATTTTAAATGTGTTCAATCGCAGAAATCACTACATGTTGTATGATATCAATTGACATTCCAACTCCTTTATAATCCAAAAAGATATCAAAGAAATCCCTAGCACAGCAAATTAAACAAATAACTATGAGGCTATGGCTATAGGAGCATTGATCTTACACCAATTCACAGTAGTGAATAACTAAATACACAACCTCAACCTCATCTTTCTTACATTGTGCATTACATCTCATATATGGCAGATATCATGTGAGTTTTGGTTTAAAAACATGATGCAGAAGGAATGATAGCTAAACAGATTACAGAGCAGATAACAGAGTTTGACTTTGAACTTCTAAAAAGACAAACCGAGTCAACATGCGCTTCCAGATAATTTCACAGAGCCTAGTTCCGTATGTTAACCAGATGTTATTACTTTCATTAATCATGTACAATGTGAACACATATGCAATAAAGAAATAAGATATGACGACATGTTTCATGACAGGTGTAACATCTTGGCGATGTGCAGCTTAATATCTTGAAACATTTAAAACACGTCTTTAAATGACTTGCTGCACGTCACCAAAATTGCTCAAAACTTGTATGACATGACTCAGGAGTTTTCCGTTTTTTTAACCTTTCATCGCACAGGGTTGTGTTTTTGTATCAATAGTAATGACTCGTGTCATGTCTTTTGATTTATGTGCATCAGGTAAAAGGGCAGAATGATTAGACATTGCATTTATGATCCAATTACAGATTGTTCAAGGGTTAAGTGTAGGTCACACAATAGGCACAAGGAAAATATTATGGCAGTGCCAAAGCAACAGCACAGTTTAATTGACTCAAATATGTAAACTAAACTCATTCAGGTATTTCTATGTTATCAATAGATGGTGCATGCCTCATGGGTGGATCCTGAAGTTCTAAGTTGGAAAACATTGATATATACATTTTTGATTCAAGTTGCCTATATATCAAAGAGAATAATAGGATGTTCCATGTGTTTTAAGTTATTGTACTTAAATAAAGATTAAATAATAGCTTGCACCAACTGCTATTGCGTGAATGTAGTCTTTTGAATTGTAGATGTTGGAAAGAATTGCACAAAATGGAGGAGGGGTTTAACCTCAGTTAACAGACATTGTTTGGTAAAGGTGTGAGGTTAGGTGGTCAATTCTAAATGAGGCAGTCTAGACATCATGACTGCACCTTTACAACCCCTGGGTATGGTTAAAGTACAACACCTATCCCAACATTCATAACCACACAAAAAGCTAGTGTTCCTAATCTCTCCAAAGTCTACAGGTCAATTAGCTTCAACAGTATCACATGAAGCTGCATGGCACATGATCACGAGATTGCATTTCAGTTTTTTCTGCTTGGTGTTCAATGTTATCAAAACTCAACAGATCAGAATTCCCCTTTAACTCATGTGGCTGCTGGGGAGGTGAATACAAAACAAAAGAAGATATGAGGAAAATGTATAGCATGAAAGAAAGAAAGGCAACAACGTTCTTAAATTATGCCAGCTCAGAAGCCTGTCTCATTTTTAAATGTAGGCTTAATAGTGCCTTTATGTTGCAAACGGCTGACAGCGCTATTAAACATTTGTATGCACAATCATGACTACCCTGTCATACTTATGTCCGATATAAGTCAATAAAATGGTATATCTGAATGAAAAATGGCAAGAGTCATTTTGGGAGGAGGATTTAGGGTCATATTGTTGTCCTTCTACCTGTGTCTCTCTGTTGTGTCTCTCAGGGTCTCTCTCGAAGCTCTCTGCATAGATGCGGACGGTGGCCCCCGTCCCTCCACCGCTCCCACTCATCCGAAACACCAGGCGGGAAGCATCCGTGAAGACAATCCTTAAGCCCTGGAATCAGAAAAAAATATGTTTACAATTTCCAAAGTTATGTTTTTTGTAATTAAGTGACTTACTTACTTCTCTTAGAGCACATGTGTCAAACTCAAGGCCCGGGGGCCAAATCAGGCCCTTGGTGGATTTAATTTCGGCCCACAGGATCATTTTTAATTACTATTAGAATTAGAATTGACCACCGGTATATTGCACGCAAACCTTCCTCAGCTCAGAGCCTGACCTCAAACATTGATGAACTTGCACCCATGACGAGATGCCAAGTATCTGGCTTGAACTAGCATCACAGCAGCACACTGAGTTTAAATGGATGTTTCCTTCTGCACTTTTTTTCTTGCGACAACAGGGGATGTTTGTTTTTTTCTTTGAGGGAAATAGTTTTTTTTAAGCTGTTGTTGGCCTGTGGAAAAATGTAATCATAAGAAATAATTCCGGAAAAGCTGCAGATAGAGACATAAGAAATGAATGCAACTGATTATTTAATGTTTAATGTTGTTTTTATAGGCAATAATTTAAGCTTTGTTAGTTCCAGGTTTAATATGTGCAAAAAGTTAATTTCAATAAGTTTTGCAATAAACATTGAATCAGTCCGGCCCACTGTGTATTTGAGTTTGACACCCCTGTATTAGACCAATGACCAACACAATTAAAAAATGTTGTTAAAAGGTCCCCTATTATACTGTTTTTCATCAAAATATAATAGGTCTCAGATATATACAAAACATGTCTCTGAAGTGTTTGGCTTGAAATACCAAAAAGATCGTGCATTGCAACATCCCATAATCCCCCCTGTTTCAGCCCTGCTCTAGGAGGAGATTCAGGTGATAAGGGGGATGTCGCTATGACATCATAAAGTGGCTAAAATCTGATCAGCTCATTTTCAGACAGGTTTTTATATAAATGGATCAGAACAAAAAGTGAGATCATATTTTTTTCTGAAACTTTCAGAATCTCTTTACACAGAGAGGACACATGTTTCTGTTTAAAAGACATGAAAAAGCGGATTTTGCATAATAGGTGATGACCTTTAAACTCAATAATTGCTGTAACAAATAAAAATTAAGAACAACCCCTACCAAAGTATTCAGTGCTTGTTACATCTGCTTGATAAATTGTCAACATGATTTATAGATTCATAAAATAGCCCTTTTGGCATCGCATACCAAACGTAATGTACAACTTTACTCTACTAAAATAAAAACCCTGATGAGCTGCATCAAACCATATAAATCATTTGAGTGTCAGACTATCATATATTAAAAGTGTAAATACTCCAGTATTATAGGGAACCTAAATATAGTTTTTTTTCTCCAGTCATGCAAATTGTGAATACAGGCATTATAGAACATTAATGGTTAAGTCAGAAAAACTGCTTTTTAAGGTGCAGTAGCTACAAACACCCACTAGATGTCATCGTGTGATTTGTTCTAAATGTGCTCAACTTGGATTCCTTTACAGGAACATGCTAGTATTATAAAGTTATGTGAGGTCATAACCACTTCAGTACTTCAGTGTTGGCTACATGAACTTGAAAGTGTTAACAGTTCTCTTTAGCATTTCAATTGAACCTCAACATTCTCAGGAAAAACAGGATATTGATGCATTGGGGTAACCAACGACAACTGTTGCTGGCTGACATAAGGAAGATAAGACTCTCTGACTAATGGATCTGTGATGACTTATCCGTCCTAAATTCCACAGTGCCTCTTCCCTTATTCCATTAGAAGCTCAGGGGAGAGACAGCAGCATAGATAGGCTTAATGTGCGAATAGTTTCCATAAAACAAACCCTCGACACTACAGGATCCTCAGTTGATAGTTATCTAAAGTAGTGCGGTCATTCATTTTCATCATGGCTAAAAAAAAGTATACCATGTCTTGTTATTGACAAATGATGCATAGTTTATTTTAAATGTACAACAGAAGTTTTGTACTATTATAGGAGTTAAAACATTCTGGTGCACTGTCCAAGTATGACTGTGACCTTATCCTAGTACCTCTCCAAACTGTGACCCAGCTCGTAGTTTATGGACAGAGATAATAAAAGTAGAGTAAACCCCTCACCCCTCTCCTAATCTGAGTTTGGCTCGGGAGTGTAACATGTCAGAGTTGGGGTGAGGAGCGAGTGATAATGAAAGATGTCCGTCCGCCTGTCTGTCTGTCTTTCTATTTGTGAGTGTCAGCTCATCTCTAACAATAGAGGAGCAGTTATCAGGAGTCTGACTAATGCCTGTTAGAAACAATGTGAGATACAAAGTTCAGAGGCCCTCAGTGGAGCGTGTACCAGCCCCTGTACCTGAAACAAATATGAACCAACACATAAAATAAGGCACTACGTTTTTGTTTCACTGGAGGTTGTGGATCATTTCCTCCTTGGCAATAATTCAGTTATGTAGAGGCAACACATTAACTCAATGAAGGTCAAAATTGAGTAATGTCCTGATCTTTTGACATCTATTAGTTACTAATTAGGAAGCCATTGAAATACAATATTCTGGGTCGAATAGTCATACATTTGGCAAGGGACTGGTATCTGCTGTTTGTTCCCAGGTTCATATGTTACCTAGCTAAATATTATCTAAATGTGGAACATTAAGGACCTTTTATAATGTTATGTTCTCAGCTATGTTTTTACCCTAGGTCAAATGTTTAATGTAACTTTGTCTTGGTAAATATGTTGAAACCACCCATTACATCTTAACTGATGTTATGCTCCTTAAAACCTACATCATCACATTTGAGGGAAAGACTGTTTTCTGGAATCTCCAACTTGTCTGTGTGTCTGTCTAGCTGTCTGTTCGATGTGTAAGATATATATGAAACAATGTAGAATCAATTCAGTACTTGACTACAAAAGGCTGCCATGCCACTGCTGTGTAAATCCCCCATGCTTCATCTTTTCGTATTTTCGTGTGTGTGTATGTGTGTGTGTGTGTGGGGGTGTGTGTGTGTCAACTCTCCCCTCCTTCAAACACACTTGCAGGGGAGACACTGCGAGTGAGACGACAGCTGATATAATTCTGTCCAGAGAGGAATGTGTGCTGTAATAACACACACTGGGGCGACTGGGATGCTGAGGGTTTACCACTGAGGTTAAATCGCATTTTTGGGTGACTGAGTAACTAGCTGTGGAGCTCCTGTAACCATGGTAACACAGAGAAGTATTTCCAGTGGGACAGTTAAGACACATAAGGTTAAGTTATCAGACAAATTGCAGGCACAACCTTGACAAAAGTGTGAACATGTGAAGGCCATGCAAGTGTATGGTCGACACCTATGTACAGGGACAACTGGAATGACGGACAGTACTCACACCAGAGTTTACAGTGTGTGTGTGTGTGTGTGTGTGTGTGTGTGTGTGTGTGTGTGTGTGTGTGTGTGTGTGTGTGTGTGTGTGTGTGTGTGTATATGTTGTAATAGGTGGGGTGCAGGCTAAGAAGGGTTGACGCCAGGAAGCTTGGAATGAGTCCACACATTTCTGGACAGAACAGAGGGAGTCAGCTGGGTAAACTTCACAGAGAATGAGGGAGGGAGGGAGAAGACCGGGAGGGTATACTGACCGAGGGACTTGTGTGTGTGTTGTGTGTTGTGTGCGTGTGTGTGCGTGCGTGCGTGCGTGCGTGCGTGCGTGCGTGCGTGCGTGCGTAAGGATATGTCCTGTATGTAATGTGTCTGTGTATGCATTTGTTTATGGTTCGAACAGACAGTTAGAGTATCATGTCCAAACACGGAACCTCTCTAATGAGATGACATTGAAGCTGAGTGGGTGGTCTTGCTGGCAGATGAGAGAGTGCATACGTTTAAAGAGACAACAGAGAAGACAACAGAGAAGGTGTTGGTGTGAGTGTGTGTGAGTGTGAGTGTGAGTGTGTGTGTGTGTGTGTGTGTGTGTGTGTGTGTGTGTGTGTGTGTGTGTGTGTGTGTGTGTGTGTGTGTGTGTGTGTGTGTGTGTGTGTGTGTGTGTGCATGTTAAAGGTGGCTTCAGTTAGACCTGACTTGAACCCCACGTTCTTCATTTTCCAGTTAGCTATGACCTAAATTGCTTCAGCTTTTAAGTAACTGAGAGAAATCCAAGAACTTAACATGATCACATGAGCAACATGAACTAAATCTTAACCAGATTATAAAATTGACTGGTTTGAATGTATGGCTTCATCATGTCTCATAATATGATACAGCACCACACTGCTATCCTCTTCTTCGAATCTTAACAATTCAATAAAAACAACAATCTACAGTATTATTGTTTTGTGTATTGAAATAGCAATGTAACACATTTGTTCCAGGTATAGCCTCTTTTACGGTGTTAGTGGGAGGATTAGGGAAATACGACTAATTTTCAACTCCTTTAATTTCTTAGCATTTTCTATATCCTATATACCACATTTTGTTTTTGTTTTCCTTGTTGTACTCTTAGCTCAGACTGACCTGGTTCCGAGCCACGTTTCCGTCCACGGGGTCGATGTATTCAAAGTTGTCGGCCCTCTCCACGCTGTAGACGTGGTCTCCCACAGCAAACTTCTGGCTGGTGAATGCTTTGTCTGACATTACTGACTCCAGGTCCCTCATCAAGTAAAAGGCTGCGCGTGGTTCCAGGCCTTCATAGTCAAACCTGAAAAGCACCAAAGCATAAATGCTCAGAAACATTGGCCACACAGAAGATTGGCATTAGAAAAGCATTAAGGGGAAAAGCTTTCAGGGAAATCATTTACTTGGGATAAATATTTTAATAGCAATGTTTTGCCTAAGATTTGTCAGGGTGATTGGTGGATTTTCCTCAGAATGATCAAAGATGATTGTGTTTTAGGGTTCTCTTTTGAAGGATATGGTACTTGGCCTGGCCTGGTTGGCCTCTCCATCTACAAGTTGTGTGAAAATCCACATGAAATTAGGAAAGATCTCTGTGGGAACATGAAATGCTGCAGCAACTGTCAGCGGGAACATTGACTGCAGCAACTATCTGTGCCTCTCACAAGGGAGAGGTTAAAATAAGAACAAGTGACGACCAGTGAGGAGGCCTGGAGGAGAAATGGATGAAGGTGAAGCGCTGGGAGACATATCTGGCTTTGGTAGGGATCCTAGGAATTCAGACTTTTGGGAAAAGGGAAGTCAATCCCGGTGCTGGTTGAAATTCAATCATTATTCAATCCAGAAAAAGTAGCTTCAAGATTGAAACATGTGTACACCAATTAAGAGATAAATGATTAACCAAATGAACCTGAATGAAGAAGTCACAGCTTTATTTCAAAGATTATTTTGCAGATTACCTGCAGAAGTAGTTACGTCCAAATTTGGCCCAGTGTTCTTTGACGATCTGCTCAACACTTTGTTTCCTGGCGGCCATGATGGACAGCCACATCAACACCGACCACAGTCCATCTTTCTCACGAATGTGGTCTGAACCTGGAGGAGAAAGAAAACAAGTGGCACATGATGTAATTGTTAGTGGGCTGTGGAGGTTCTGTCAGGTGGCCTGTATATGTGTTATTGTCTGCAAGATAACGTAAAGCGTATGTAAGAGTCAAAGAAAGAACAAACAACTGGAAGAGTAAAGTTTCTTCAAAAGGCTGGTCAAGAGAAATATTCCACTAATTACTGAGCCATATTTAAAAATGCTGTTTTTTTTTAAAAAGATGGTGTTGTTCTAATGATGATGAAACACAACTTAAATCTAAGTATTCAACTCCACTCTACTGTATGTAACAGAAGGTCAAGGAGAGTGCTCGGTCTTGGAGACGAACCAAACATCCCCACACAAATATTGTCTGCTGCTCCCCACCCTGAAATACACATCACACACACACACACACACACACACACACACACACACACACACACACACACACACACACACACACACACACACACACACACACACACACACACACACCCTAGTTCACACCCTTGATCCGCCACCTTCACTGGGGAGCTGTTTGTCTGTTTTGGAAAACAGCTGACCAGTAAAGTTATCTGTAAGCGGGCACATGTCTCCCTACCAGAGTTTGGAGCAGGAAATTCACTTTGCTGTTTATTTGATATAGACAAGCATGAAGGTATATTTATTATTTTGCATTCTGTTTTATTGCATACACCTTTCTTTGCTTTATGTTCTACACTGAACACTAATAACAAGAAGCATACTTCTAAGATCTGTGTCCGGCTCTACGGCTGTTAGGAAACTGACAGTTGTCATTATTTAATCCCCGTCTTACTGTCTGTCTCCCTGTGTCTCACTCTCAGACACAGAGAGAGACACAGTGGAACTGAAATATGTATTATGCCACCAAACCAAATTCAGACCTCCAACTACAGTGTGAAATAAAACATAAGTATACCCCTTTTCTCTATCCTGCTAGCTATGCTTTGATTGTGAAAAAAAGGGGGTTGCTGATGTCGAAGCTATGGATATCCCATTTGTTTTAGGGGGACCGGTTTGCTTTAAAAAAAAAAAAAGTATGTAGGCAAAACTATTATTTGTTTGCCTACATACTTTCTTGACCCTTTTAGCTTTTTGCCTATTCATTTTCTTCCTCAGCAGAGCCCAAACGTTTCTTGGGAGAATGCAATTTTTTTTTTCTTTTTTTCAGACGGCATGTTGTGAGCAATAACTTTAAAGTTCTGACAATGGCCTTATCAATCTGCAAACCATTGAAATACAATCAAAGTAACAATAGAACAACTACATAAAGTGTTACAGAACTGGTTAAATCTTCACTTGCAATAGCTAAGGCTGTGCTGGACAGAATATGTGTATGAGAGGTAGTAAGAGCAGGAGTGGAGTAGAGCTCTGATGATTTACTGCTCTGGGCTCTCGCTGAGCTTTTATCCTTACATGGGTAGACAACGAGTAAGCTCTCGCAGTCCTCTGGTCTCTCGCATGTCTGCTCTCTTTATTTCTCTCCACCATGTCAATACTTCTCATGTTTAAACTCTCCCAACTCCTTCTTTCCTACAAGCTTCTCTTCTCTCTTCTTTTCATACCTACTTTTATGTTTATTCTCACGTAGAGCTTAAGATAACATCTTCAACTAAACCAAGAAAAATCGAATGAGAGGGATAAAACTCAAACTAAATCAGCTTTAGAAGGATGTAGGGAGAAAGTGAAACAAGGGCAGTGGAAAATAAAATGTGGAAAGGATGTAGAGGGAGGGCAAAAGCAGATGTGTGTGCATTTTTTGTGCATGCATATTGTTTATATTTTCTGACCACGTATGTGTGTATCTGCGTTTGCATTCACAGACAACATTGCCACTGGAGGCCTGTCTCCATGTTGCAGTGATTCAGGGAGCCCTGTCTCCTTTTATAGCAGAAGAATGGAGATTATTTACACATGCAGTCAGGGTCACAGCCCTCACATCTATTATACAAGTCTGACTGGATGCACTGCTAACAACTCTGGACATGAAACAGGCAGGGGAGTGTGTGAGGAAGAGAAAGGAAAAGGGACATTTTGAGAAAATCTAAAAGGAAATGCTGATTTCCTAAACAATTAGATCCTTTTTCAGAATCAAGTTTATTGCCAAGTACGTGGCAAAAAACACAAGTAGTCAAAGGATGATAAAGGTTTATTTTAAAAGCCTAGGTTAGTCAAATTAAGGTTAGTATCTGACAACTTCTACAATTTCAATTGAATTTACAGAGTTTTACTGGACACTTTTGTATTTGTCAGCAGCAGCTGGCCAGCGCAGTCCTGGCCTTATTGCAGGCACCTCAACAACAGTTGCTGCTGAGAGGAGGGTATTTCCGTGTCACCCACCCACTCATATTTCCCAAGCTTGTCAATGGATTAACATGAGTTTCCTTCTCTTCACACGGTAAAAGGCTGCTTCTGCTGTATATCTGTATTCATCTGATTTCTGTATTGATGACATTGAGTATGGTGATTGAAGTAGTTTGGATTGTGTGCTGTAGCATGACAGATAGTACCTGTCCCGAAGCTCTCCTCCCCGCAGAGGGAACAACGCCCAGTATCCATCAGGTTCCCAAAGTACCTCCAGCCTGTGGGAGTCTCATACAGCGCCAGTTTCATGGCTTTGGCTACCCTGCAAACAAACAGAGACACAAAGAGAAACAAAGCTATTACTCTATGCTCACAAGAATACAATGGATTTATCTCTCTCTAATATGTCCCGCCAGCCTTTCTCAGTTATGATATAGAGATAAACTTACAAACCATGATCTGACCTTTGAAATAAAGCAAACCAAATGTTGTATGACAAGCCTCATCTGCCAGCAGCTCATCCAATAACTTAATAAGGCAAAGGCAGCGAGAAGAAAGTGAGTTAACCTTTTAGCTGATGTTTGCTTTGAATCCGAGCCATGAAGGAGTGTGTGTGTGTGTGTGTGTGTGTGTGTGTGTGTGTGTGTGTGTGTGTGTGTGTGTGTGTGTGTGTGTGTGTGTGTGTGTGTGTGTGTGTGTGCGTGTGCATGCGTGCGTGCGTGTGTGTGCTTGTGTATGTTTAAGTCCTAGGGAGGGACAAAGATGAAGACAGTACAATATGTGGAAGGAGAGGTGAGTGCAAAGAAACAGACTAGAGGGGAAAAGGGCAAAAAAAAAGACTAATACAACTTCTTTTTTTTAAATGAGCAGAAAAGTAACTGGCTTTATACAATGGAATTATTAGTAACATGATATAATATATTTTAGAATAGGGTTGACACACGTCGACAAAACCTAAAATAAAATAACATGAGAATAAATTTGCCTCAATTCAAATCAAACAGATCAGAGTACTTAGACATGCGACCACCCCGTCTTCTAGCTAGCATCAACTAAAAAGCTGTTCATGGGGTTTTCTGTCCATATTGTAAACTAACTATCATTATAATTATGGCAATTTACATTCAGTCATAACATATGACTCAGCCACTTGCACTGGTTTCTTAAGGTTTCTTAAGGTCGTGTCCTAAAGATTTACATTCTACAGTTACACGCACAAAGTGTACACTGTGGATTTTCGAATGCTGCCAGGCCAGGTTTTGAGGAGCAGTATCTTTGAAGGTGCCATAATCAACATTTTAACAACAATGGAGACTAGTATGTGAGAGAAGTCACTTGTAGTGTTGAACCCACGGACCATTATCACTCCTATCTGCCTCTCCCTCAGCTCTACAGAGCATTTCAGCAACTCTCATCTCATTGTGCTGATTTTACAACCCGCATATTTTTCGGTTCACTCTTAATGCTCTCATAGCAGTTTCTAGCAGCAGGCAGCTGTTCTCAGGGGAAAAAAGCTCTGATATACCATGCAGACAAGGTTTTTGTTGGTTTTTACAACCTTTTTTCTGCCTACCAGTCGTACAGTGGTCAAACAACCACTTAATGCAAGTTCAAATCCTACCATTTTTTAGATTTAATAACAGTAAAAGTAAAATGTTGCTTGTATAAAGTGCAAGAATTACATTTTTGACAGCGTGAAAAGAAAACATTGATAGAGTTTTTAAACTTCTATGAGTTCAGATATTTAGAGGTTTAAAAAGTGGGGTGTGATTCAGCAGGGGACATTGGACTCATTATCTCGTATTTCTAAAACACTGGTCCATTGTGTCCTAGAACTTAGTGAGAAATGTGATGGCAAAAAGATGGAGAAGGACTCAGAAAACCTCTTGAATAATGTTTTATGAAGTTACCACCCCGAAGCCTGCTTGCAGAGATATTTAGTTTCTAACGGCGAAACAGTGTCCTTCTCATTCCAAACATTTCACTCCTCAACCACACCTCCTCAGTAACCACTGCAACATGTAAACACAACTCCCAGGGCTACGAAATGTCGAAATAAATATTAAATTCAATAAACAATTGTTGTTCCTTCAGAAATAAACATGAACTGTCAAACTCATAAGCTTATACTGTGGGATGCTATTACAATGTATGAGGATGTGAGTAGATTTCAGAGTTTTAAAGTGGTCGTACAAATCCACCCAATCATCATGCACATAAATAAACTTCACAGTGCCCAGCACAGTTGTTTACCAAAAAGAGTAACTAGCTTTATTCCCCTCTGGGGAAGCCAGAGCTGGAACGGAAAGCCTGGCATTCCTAAATGAAAACAGAAACTCTGGCCTTCTGACGAGCCTTTGACTTGTCAAACGGCACGTACGCAGCCAACATAAGCACAACCCCTAGCAGCGCTATTTTTGTTGAAAATAGTGCAAAATAGTTTTGCCCAAGTTTGATAATTGCCCAGGTGGGCCTTACCTGGACAACAGCATCACCACTGGGGTGGAAAGCCCACTCATACTCAGACATAGCCTTGATGTACAGACACACACTCAGGGAAACAGGCCTAATCAACAATCCCTTTTCATTCTCATTTAGATTCATTAGTAAAAGCTTCTTGAAGTCAAACAATACATGGAACTATCATCATAATCAAACCATGGCTCGGTTGATGCTGCTCTCTGGCAGATGAGTATTTCTGAAGACACAATAAGGAAGTTTCTGTTTAGGGCTGCTATCCCCCTTGTTTAGGTGTGACCACTTTACTGTAAGGCTTTATCAATGTCCATTATTATACACTAGAAACAGGCAGACTTAGCATACAGAGTCAATGTGTGCTCAAGTTACTTAATCATGCAGCTTGAAGGCAGAAAAATAAATATTGTATTGATTTTTTTTAAATATGTTTTTGTTCTGAATATAAGGATTGATTGACTATGTATGGAAGCTGGACTATGCCTGCAGGATAATTCTGTTGTCAGACTTCAAAGAAGTCAGTAGCCACACATTTCATTGATAGATCAAAATAACTTATATAGGCATGTAAGTTTGAGTGTGTGGTAGAATAAATATCAATATCATTGTAATCGTGATTAAAAGTGCCAGTTCATTTTGATAGATTTTAAGTAATTTTTAGAATAGGCTTTCAAAAAGAAAATGGTTTCATAAAATGATGAACTGTTCCAGCAGTGCAGTACAGTTTATATTGAATACACATACATATTGTAAGATGGCTGGTGCATCCAAACTAAAAAATACCCATCCTGTCTGTAGTTGAAATTCAATTGAACAGAGGCAGAAAAGGTCCATCATTATAATCCTTTGACCCCTTAAGGTAAAAAGCAGTCAGATATTTTATAACAACGCTCAGCTTCCCTCCAACTCACTCACTCTCTGGACTCCCAGGATTATAAACACACAAACTGATCCACACACTTACAGTATGGCTTCACTGTCAATAAACACACACGTTGAAGCAATGCCTCCCTCGTTTTCTCTCTAACTCGATCTTTGTATCTCTCTCATGCATCAAGAAAAATTAAGCAGTAATGTGAGGTATGAAAATCTCTACATCTGCGGACTGAAATGCTGACAGCTTTCGGCCTTGACTCGATATTTCACCAAACATAGCGTCCAGCGGCCTCTCTCCTCACAGCTTCTTTTGAAGAGCGCTCATCCCGGAATTACCAGCTTAAGAATGGTATTCAGACAAAAAGCCTAGCATGCTGGGGCTTTACTTGGTCTTGAAATGTTCTTCTTGACCTTAGCTAGAACCCCTATCTCGACAACGCAGAAATGTAAAACACTAAAGATGTTGCCTCGGTGGCCAACTCTGAAAATTCCTTCAAAATGAAGAATGCAAATTAAAGTTGAGATGATTTCTGTAAATGGTCAAAGCTGTTACCTACAATGTTTTTTGGGATTAGTATCAAAATACTTTTGAGACATAATTTCGAAACAGTTTTCTGGAATTTTCCAAAACTGTGTCAAAATATATATTTATCACAATAACTTAGTCAGACTGAGAAGTGTGCTTGCTGGGTCAATGTTTGATTTGGCTAGATTCTGCCCATTGCTCTCTATCAAAATACTTGTGTATAATACCACATTTAAGCCTGATGACAGCATTTCACATATTTCTCTAGTAGGTTTTATTAGCATTTCTTTGTTCTTTTTCACAGCTCCACAAATGTACTAAGTCTTGGAAACTTTACATGGTAACACACAGTACTACCAAATTGGTCTGATATGGTCTGCTGTAAAAGTGAAAATGCCTATAATCCATCCCAAAGTACACTATAACAATTCAATCCAAAACAGCAGTATCAGTCAGGTTGTATTTCTTTAAGGAGGTTTAGGTCTCGAAAAGGTAAAACTAATACACAAATAGGCTTACAAAATAATGCAAGTATGTATTTATTGTCAAATAAACTACTAGGCTATGACAGACGGACTGCACACCTTCGACCCCACAGGTTGTCATGATGAGTGCATGACAATTTAGCAAGCACAGAAGTTTAAAAAAAGCTACAAACAATGGACACTTGGTTGAATGCAGAAGGCAGAATGCGAAAACCAAACCTACTGAAAAGACTCATCCAGTTTGAAGGGACTTTAAATGACACAATGGATGAGTATCTGTAGTTCACTTATTCTGATGGGGCTGTGGACCAATTGGGTCACGGGTCTATAATAGGGCAATTACTTCATGTTGCAAGCTTCAACATCTGTGCCAATCGTTTGTGTTTATTCTTTATTTTTTGCTATTTTTCCAGCAAAACATTATGAAAACATGATACAAATACCACAATACTCAAGGGGTGCATAGGATTCAAATGAATCCACAAAAAGCACAGCCTGTGGTAGTAGCACTTAAAATGGTTTAAGCATTGGCAGCTGTGAGACAATATAATATTTTGATTGCCTTGGTCATCCTAACAACAAAAAAAATGGATGAAGAAAAAATAAAGAACCAATTTGAGCCACAACATCTAAAGGAGACATATAATACTCTTTTTTAGGTTTATACCTGTATTTCAGGTTTCTAATACATCATGTAAACTAATTGTGGTGTTAAAAATACACATACATTTGTCATCTTGTCTGAATATACCTGTAGATACCTGTCTCTCCAATTCTAGAAAAGGCTCAGTCTGCTCTGATTGGCTTGCGAGAATAATTTCAAAAGGTATTTCTGTAGTTTCTTGAAATACTTAGAAGAGGGGTGCCATATTTAAATGCTCATGCATGCATTGTAGGAAGGGAACCAAGTCTGAATAGCTTGTTTAATCCCATAATTTCCGAGGGAGGTAGCCCACAAAAACAGACAGGATTGGGTTTTTTTCAGTTTTTGTTTGGTAGACACTACAGACATCTATGTGCACATTGCACCACCACAAGTTATTTTTGTCATGACATGTCCTCTTTAGCATGTAACCCTTCTACTTCCCTGTGCTAATCAGATAGTCGGTACAATAACTGGGACCTCACCCTGGCTAACAAGAGGGTCAGCCTCTCTTCTCCTTACATCCTCTAGAACGGTTAAAGGAGAGGCAGATGTTTCCTTTACCAATATTTCCCTCCCACTCTCTCTTCCGCCGTCCCCTCCCTCTATTCATCAGCCTTATTTGTAATATGTGAGAGAAACACATACAGTACATAAAAGCAGACAGACGGACCTCTCCGACACATTTGACACCTGTAACTCATGTAAATCTGAACTCAAACACATTCTCTCTGTCATTTTACCTTACTCCCCTCTGAATACACACAACTACATACACTATATACACCGTCGCATTTATCAAGGCTTTAATAACACAGTTTGCTCGACTATGCATAAACAGACAGCAGGGAGGGTTGCTCAGTCTAAACACTCACGCAGACACACACACAGGCCCTAACTCCCCTAAAAAGGCCTACACTTGGGCTGAGTCCAGGGTCCAAGAATATACTACTCTGTACTTCAACACTGCAAATATCTCTATTTCCCATCCAGAGAGAGAAGCGTTACATTCAGGGAATTAGGTAGGGGATATGAAGCTGAACAAAGTAACCCTGTCCTGCAACAATGTCAGTAAGTGTTCATTGGAATGACACTGTAGGTGCTTTGCATTCCCAAGAGTGCGCCAGTGAAATATGGTTTGACAGAGACAATGTATTTCTGACCAAGTTTTTCAGAGAGCCCAGAGCATGATATTGTCTGTGGTTTAGGTATTATCTGTAATCATTTTGTAAGAGTCATTTCCATTTCTCAGGAGATCTTACAACTAAGTTTCAAGGAAATTAACTGAATGCTATCATTAATACAAAACACCAAATATTGAGACAATAGACAATAGACTGTGTGTGTGCTTCAGGCAAAGAGGAGTCTGAAGCGTTTGTATGTGTATGTGTACATGCGTGCGAGTCTCTACTCTAAAATGATAACCAGTAATCCAGTGATGTAACACTCACATATCTAAGCAGGATCTCTCTCTTGTAGCTGTGAAACCCAGAGAGACCATGATTGGCAGTGAGGTCACTTCCTTGATGTCTGATAGTGCTGACATACCAATTCATGCACTCGCACTCTCACACACAAACACACATATGTCAACCTATGAATCCTGTACACAACTCTTATGGCGAGCAATGTGTTGGCTATACCAATACTGAAAAAGATGTGATGCTCTTATAATGCATCAAACAGCAATGATGTGGAAGTGGATGTTTCGGATCCATCAGTCAATGTTGACATTTTAGTTATTTAACCATGAGGCCTCCCTCTTTGGGATTCTTAAAAAAGACCATATGACAGACTCCAATGCCCGTCTGTCTTCCAGGGATCAAGGATACTGTGATGAATGAGCTGACAGCTACACATTTTTGCTACAGTTGTCTCTGGGATTAAAGTGTACAAAAACGTACATCTGAAATATTCTATACATTAACGTTTTAGTGGCATTAACCAAACCATATCGTTAACCTAACCATAGCTACCTCTATTAATTTAAATATATGTTTATAAATAAAAAATGAAGCAAGTAAAGCACTGAACATCTTTTTTTACTAGGACAATACATTTGGTTTTGGTAAAGTCAGTGAATTATTACATATATGAATAGGACTGATGATCATTTATGGAGAAAAAACATAATCTATCTTCAATACTAACTAGAGTAGATTTGTTCTGGTTCACTCTTGTACTGAATGACACACTTCTATGGGGCGGCGTTACGTTCATTGTGTGTCACTGCTGGGATCCCTCCTACTGGAACAATGTTAATGAGGGTGACTTTAGCAATGATCACATCCTTTCACTCAGCACCCGGCGGTAACAGACAATATTTATAGGTGGTGAGAAAATGTGTGTGAGGAGGTCGTGTGTGTATGTGACCTCACAGTCTTATTCATAGAGGGTGAGTCTTAATCTGAAAGTGTGGCCCCTCTCCAGAGATTGGGCTGCTTGAGGAGTTTTTCTAGAGAGATCGAGGTGATGTGACGGAATGCAAAAACATAAACTGCAGCGTCCCAGGATGTGTCAACATGAGGAAATGTCCCTATGGTGTGGTTCCTCTAATTTATGGCATTTGATTGATGCAGTAGTTTTACTTGTTGGCACTGCTGTGTTTGTAACTTTAGAGATATATTTGTGTTCATTCTTTCTGATGCGATTGTAGTGCATGAAGCTGATCTGGTAAGTGATCTTGGCTGACTTTAAATTGTTGTTTTATGTCTCTGTCGTCTTTGACTCTGATAAAAAAAAAAACAGCAGCATAGAAACCTTGGTCAGTTTGCCCTATAAACGGCTGTATATCAATCTCCAGTCCCTCTTCCCCTTGAACCCCTCAGATTGACTCCTGAGAGTGTGTGCAAGTGTGTGTTGTACCTGTCGAGGGCGGTGCTGGTGGCCATACTCCTGGCAAAGCCCTTGACTCCCAGCTGTCTGAAGTAAGGGATGGAGGACAGGTTGGCAGCCATGATGGCCACAGAGTCCGACGGGTTCACAAAGAAGCCGTTTTCTCCCAGGATCATATACCGGTCCTGAAAGCAGCACAATATGGTACAATGTGAGATGAGTCATACATTTCGAATTGCAATCGGACTAAACCTACTAATAACTTGCTCCTCGGTGCCATAGACTTCCAATATTCCCCAAATGATTAAACATATAATATATCAAATTCAGCAGAACGTTTGGGTTGACATAAAAGCAGTAAGTCACATAAAAGTGAAAAACAAGGTTCTTTTTGCCAACAATCAAAATGTCCTTTTAGAGTTTGTGTATAATATTGGTTACAGTATTATTAAACAGCGACCAATCCTTGTGGGAGAAACAGAGCAGATATGACACAATTCTCTTGACTAATTTACTCTGCAAAGTGTGTGTGTGTGTGTGTGTGTGTGTGTGTGTGTGTGTGTGTGTGTGTGTGTGTGTGTGTGTGTGTGTGTGTGTGTGTGTGTGTGTGTGTGTGTGTGTGTTAGAAATGACTATTGGATGACATTGTGGAAAAAGTGAGCTGCTTGTTGGATCATCATGGATACAGTATTATTCAGCCCCCATTGCTTGTCTTCCTGTTATCAATGAGCAAAAACAAATACAAAATAAATAATTCGCTCTCTTGTATCTATGGGTGGAGCCTAACTTCATTAATTCAGTCTTAATCGGTGAAAACAAATCTGAACATTAGTGACCTAAACCAGGATATGCAACGGCATGTAAGGTCATTTATTTAGCACAAATCAATTAATATTTTTAAACAAAGCTAAACCACCAAATATTATCAACGTTTTCCAAACTCCACATAGAGTAACAAAAGGGTATTGCTTTATGGCTTGAGGCATATTTACCACCCTTATCACACTTTTTCATACAAAGAGAATACAAGTGGATTCAACAAATGCTTATCATCAGATGTCTTACCCCATCTGCGTCAAATGCAGCTCCAAAGCCCAAGTCCCCTCCTTTCATGGCTTCTACCAGAGAGGTGGCGTAAATCAGGCTGGGCTCCGGGGGTCGGCCCCCAAAGTCCTCCAGAGGGACACAGTTGACAGCAGAGTTAGCCGGAGCTCCCAACTCTTCACACAGGATCCTACGTATATAAGGGCCCATCACTAGAACAATACATCAGGGGAGGCGAGGAGAAAAGACAGCAACAGTTTATTCTTCAATAACATTGACAACACTAAAGGGGTTAAATACGGTAGATGATGAACTGTCTCACCTCCGTTCATGGCATCTATGTGTATCTTGAGTTGATCTGGTCCTGTGAGAAGACTTTTAATGGCACTGAAGTCAAAGATGTTTCTCAGCAGCTGTAGATACACCTCAACTGAGTCAACAATCTCCACTAGAGACACAGAGAAGAGATCATTTGTCAAGTTGTTTTGGTTGTATGCATTTGTGCCTTAAAGAAAGAATAAAGGAGTGAATGAGGGTTGTACCTCTGAATGGTTTGAACTTGTTCTCCAGGTCAAATTCTTGCCTTCCCAGCCTGGACAGATCAATGTGGAGGTCGGGGCAGATGGCATACTCCTCAAGTGTCCGGCTCACCTGGCAGATCCTCTCCATCACTGTGTCCGTAGACGGGCCTGCCCAAGAAAAAAAGACTTACATTCATATGACTTTCAATGGCATTCATTTCGGTCATGACTTCAAACCACTACATTTGACTCGTACATTCTCCATTGGAAGAAGCTATGGGAAAAATCATTAAACAAGCAGTCCTCACCTCCATTTGCCACATTAAACTTGATTCCAAAGTCTCCACTGGGGCCTCCAGGGTTGTGGCTAGCTGTGAGGATGATCCCACCGATGGCCTTGATCTTCCTGATGATGCAGGAAACAGCGGGGGTGGACAGGAGGCCGTTGTGGCCGATAACCAGACGACCAATCTGCAAAGCACAGATTATAAAGAGAAGCAAAGTCAGATGTCACCTAATGTAATGCTTTCTGGGGATCATTCTGTTTTGTGGCTGACTCAAATGTTTCATAAATGCTGGTTAATATGTTTGGAAAATTGCCCATCTATGGTGGAATTTATTTTCCTACACTGACCTGAAAAACTTCAAGAGCCAATATGTCCAACTAGAACTAAAGGCAACAATGGCCCAAAGCATCTCGTCATTCAGGTGACTAAATGACAGCCAGCTTTAAAAAAGCAAAATGATCTGCCCCAAGAGGGTTCCAAAATAACAGAGCTGCCCTCTTTATTTATAATTTGTATGCTACATTTAAAGTGGCAATACCACCAGCATCTCATAATTCCCCTGCATAACAGCTATTCTAAATAAAAGTGTCCTCACTGCAGAGGAATTTATTCTACTTACGTCAGTGGATCCTCCTAACATCCGGCAAGTTGTATTTGTAAAGAAAAGTGAGGGACAACCCGAAGAAATGTACTCTTCAGAACATATTTAGCCTGTTCTGTGTAATGATTTAAGAACATAAATGATAAATGTTCTTATTGCTCACCATGTTTGATATTATTCAATAACTAGTGGTAGAAACATAGTCCATAGTGTGTGGGTTATCTGCAACTGATGCTACTAACTTGACTTTTGGTTCAATGCCATATAAAGGGGATCCCCAAAAGCATAACGTTTGGCCCTGGAGAGAAGGAAGAGCGAGAGACGGGGAACATACGTCGGCAGGAAAACTGAGCAGGACGGATGGAAGTGCTGATAAGGCCGACATCTAGGGACATTTGGCCGGGACAGCAGAAAAAACAGACTGATCTCGAAAAACACATTATATTCTCTTCAGATTTTCCTTTGAAACTCATCCAAACCAATCACAGAGATCTCCGAGCTAGCATTTTAAATGAGCTGTGGGAACTTTCCTCACTCTGTCTTCCTATTTTCATTTATTTGTTGACATTAAACACATATTTGGGATGGGTTTGCATGTGTTAATATCACACATTATTACTTTAACCTAACCTAAAGCTTTCAAGTGTGTACAAGAAGTAGTGGCATGAGCTGATCAGTCATAATTGAAATTCTGGACAAATGTTGACCAATGCAATGCAGTGTCTTCATATGTAATACATTTTGACAAGTCCTTCTCACTATGTTTTTAGGAAGTTGTGTAACAACAATCTAGTCGAAGTTAGGTCACCTTATCGCTGTTCTTGCTTGGACTTTGGAAGTGCTTCCCTTATTTAAAATTCAATGTTAAGGTGCATATGAGTTGTTAGCAAATCATAAGTATTGATTTTCACTTCTCAGACTTTTATTATCATAGTTTTAAAGACCTGAAGCTTTACCGTATAGTGCAGTAAAGATGAGAAATATATATATTTTTTTGAAGATAACATTTAGTTTTGATTTACATTTACTACACAGTAGTCATAATACTACCCTTGGGTTAAACACTGTACAACTTTTAAATCATTAATGGCAAGTTTATTTATCCATGTTCATAGTTACAGTTCTTAGTTCTTAGTGTACTCAAATCCCATTTGGATTTAACTTGCTGATAACTGATTATTTGTTTTATTGTCATACATTTTTACTTACTTGAAGAGTGAAAATAGCCTTCACTCCAATATATGTATTTAACACTTAAATAAATATCATTGAAACGATGGTCTTGTGCATAGTAAGAAGTGTTTCCACAACCCAAGTTGACATAATGCAACACATGTTATCCAGTCTCAGCGGGCCTATGGCAGTCCCCCTCCCTGCTTACCCCGTTGGCAGCTGCCATCTGCACGATCACTTCGGTGGCAGCCCGGCTGAAGTAGCGGCCGTCGCTGCCCACCACCATGGTGCAGCCCTGCCGGTCCCGCAGGTCGATGGAGGACAGCAAGCTCTGGATGTAGTTCTGCAGGTAGTTCTTCTTCCCCTCGAACACCGCTGTCTTCCTCCGCAACCCGTTGGTACCGGGCCGCTGGTCCTCGAAGGGGGCGGTTTGGACCGTCACCACCGGGATGGGACTCGTCTCCATCCTCCACCAGATGGGAGGACGTGGATCAAATAATCTGAAGTTGGTTATTGAAGTTTGCTTCTGGTGATATTCGACCACTGAGTAAAAGTGGTCTTAGTTTGGAGAATAAACAGCACTTGGAGGGTCCTGTCAGGCTGAAGGTGCAGTATCCCAACCGAGGAGGGCTTGACAGTAGGCTAATCCCGCACAGGGATGGCAGGAAACAGCCAGCCAGCAAAATGTACTCACCTCGGCGACTTCTGTTGTAACCTACAGAGCTACACCCCTCAGCACTGGACTGAACATCCACCACTCTCCTCTGCTGTCAGACCTCCCTCTTTTCCTAATAAGCCTGAACAACTGACTAAAGAAAAAAAAAAGCAGGGAGGGCCAGAACCTTAAGGCCCACAATCAGCTGAGCCCCATGGACCAAAATAGACATTTGACTGATGGCAGAGGGGAATTGTGTTGGAACCGGTCTGCAACCGGACACTGTTTGTGTCTGTGCTGTCCACACTGCCCGGTTTAAAGGCATATAAGCCTGGCAGGCACATATAGGACTTTATAAGTAGTCTATAGCATGACAACGCAATGAGCAAACCTGTACTTACTGATAGTAAAGTTTTTAATTGTCACTGAAATTGTATTTGTTTCACATCTCCATCTCTACTGAAGTTTATCTCCGTATCGTTTTAGTAGGCATATTCTTTTTAAATACAAAAGTGTAATCTGTGACATTGCATGTATTAGTTTGCAATCCCTTTACACGTCTGGGTTAGGCCATCACTGTGTTGAAGCCAACATCTGGTAAACAGTGCCACCTTGTGACAGAAAGGAAGAAATAAAGTTCTCTTAAACATTCAAAAATATTTTCCTTCCACAGCAAACAAGAAACCTAACAGATATTTGGTATCTATCATTTATGATTATTAAAATATATTCTAGTATTAATTATATAGTTCTAATATAAAAGTGTGGGCTTTTATTGTTAAAATCAAGAGCAATAAATGCAGAAACAGTCTCTTATTCTTTATCAAATCAACAAGTGTCTTGGGGACATTAGTTTAGAGCTGGCATGACCCTTTTTAATCTGCTGGTTAGAAATGTTGTTTTACGTTAATTTTTTCAAGATGTTATCTCAATAGTTGAAACTCCATAACAACATTCTGATTGTGTTTTAACCAGGATTTTTGACCATTTTAATCATCTTTAAATATCAATAACAAATGACAGTATAAGTGAATATATTTGACTTGGAGAATATAGAATTATTGAGAGTTTGGACTTATATTACATATAATATTTTGGAGATAATGTGAAATTATGTCAGAGAATTTAACTTTCATACATTGACAGCTTATGCATCATCTGAAGATACAATATATTTTTCACTACATGCTATGGAGCACAATACTTATCATGGGCTTTTCAAATGTATTAGACTGTTGTTCTTACTTTTATATTTGGCATTGGCCTGACCCAAACAATGATGATGTAACTAAAATAGTGCTTTAAGTAACCAAAAAAGAGCATGAAACATCAGATATTTTACAGATATTTATTTTCACAAGTTAATTAATAACAAAAACACACAAAACGCCTTCCACTGCAGCATGTCTCACAAATATATTACCAACCATCTTATTAACAATTATTTCATTTAAGACATAACTTTGTCACATAAATATCATGCAATTAAAACATTTCTTTAAGAAACAATCTACACCAACTTGTCTTCACAAAGCATCGAACACACAGACACTGTGAAGGCTTCAGTGATGGTAAGAGAGTCTGAGGTGCTCGTTTCTCAAAGGAGCATTGTTCAGCATGGCAGGAGGACAGAATGGAGCCTGCATCAGCGTGGGGACTAAACGGGCAGCAGGGCCAGACATCAGGTGACCGTACCCGAGAGAGCTGCGAGGTGGATTCAGGTTCTGTGCACTGAAAGGAGAGGGCTTGCTCATGATGCTGTCAATACTGAACGAGCATTTTGCCTGCAGGCGAGGCTTTGGCTCAGCAGGGTCTGTGGAGCAAAGCTGAACTCTGAAGTCTTTAGGCCCGTTGCTGTTCCCGTGACTGTTCAAAGTTTGTGGTAGAATGTGATAGGAAGAGGGAGGCATCATAATGCCCTCCTGCAGAGGCATGTACCGGATAGGAGCAGCGGGTGGGGGGCTTACCTGGCCATGTACGCAATACGGTTGCCCGTATGGCCGGTAGCAGTTCAAGTTGGAGTAAAAAATAAGTCCGTCTTTGCCAAACTCGGGCTGGTTTCTCTTGAAGCGCTTCCTGCGTCGAAGGAAGCTGCCGTTGTCGAACATGTCCTCTGATGCAGGGTCCAGAGACCAGTAGTTACCTTTGCCCGGATTTCCGGGCTCCCTCGGGATCTTGATGAAACAGTCGTTGAGGGACAGGTTGTGCCGGATGGAGTTCTGCCATGCAGGGAACTTGTCTTTGTAGTAGGGGAACTTGTTGCTGATGAAGTCACAGATGCCACTGAGCGTCAGCTTCTTGACCGGGCTCTGCAGGATGGCCATGGTGATGAGGGCGATGTAGGAGTAAGGAGGCTTCACAGAGCTGCTCTGGGCTTTCCTGGACAGCGGGGCGTCTGCACAGAAACTGTTCTCGCTTTCCCCCGAGGAATCTGGCTCGGAAGAGTCAAATTCAGCACCAGATTCAGCCGAGGAACCAGGGTCCGTAGAGCACTTGTTTCTATAAATACGCACACTGGTAGGCTCGTCCTCGCCCACTATATCAATCTCATCCTCTTCTAGAAGCGAAGCAGGGTGTTGTGGAGCCTCAAATTCACCGGAGAGAGTCATGTTCACACGCAGAGTGGTCAAAAACGCGTAAAAACTCTGTGCCAAAGCTGCATTAATGTTTCGCCGTGCGTAATACCAAAAGGCCTCTGATCATGCGTAAAAGCGCATGTGTCATTTGGTTCTTCCTTAAACCTTGTTTACTGGCTGTTTGCTGTGATAAGAAGGGCTAGGGCTTTATATGAGGGGAAACTGCTGCCCTGCAGGCCAGTCCCATTAACCCTCTGGACCTATCAGAGGAGCCCCTCGCCACGGGGAGCCAGAGGATGCGATCACACAGGTGGGGGGGCTTAGGGGGTCTTGAAGTGCATATGGCCTCAATGTTTAGATTTCCTTATTTCACTCATGTGTTTTATTGAAATTGCCCAACGTTTAAAGTGAGTGCCATCACGAAATGACATAACATAAAACTAAATGTCCAATATTAAAAATAATTACTGAAATCTTACTTTTGATGTAATTTCTCAGCCTAAATAACCATCGATAAGTATGGGCTTTACAAATAAAAATCACCAAAATCACCACAGTGTTATTTTGACTTATCTCTTTTTTCACTCCTGCAGCATACAGTAGGTACCCATTAGCTCAAGCCACTTTGAGTCCGGTATAGACATTCTGTGTCGGGCATGCAATCCTTTATATGATACAAAAAAGAAAATCATTAAAAATATGTTAAAGGTCATTCCTGATATTTTAATCATCTGATATTACAAGTCGTACAGCATCACAGTCGGCGGTTGGATGCTCTTGGGAATTTTAACACCACGCCTAGCCACCGCTAAGAAATAAAGTGTTTCCCCCTCGGAACCCCCGCGGGTTCGTTTAGTTTGCCACCTCTGGATGCCCGTGGGTGGTGTGACCATGAAAATGGCCGTGGTGAGGCGTCCCGCAGGCAGGAGAGAAAAGAGGCAATAGTCGCCTTAACGAGGCCATCAGCATCAGAATCGAGTAGGAAACGGCTCAGCTGAACGCTGCGCTCTGGGCTACAGGGCTCAGCTCGGCTTTACGACCGGGATGAATGAGCTGAGCCATCCTCAAAGCAAACCGGTCCTACAGCGGATATGTGCTAAAACCGTGCTGCTAAACCATCTCCATTGCAAATGACTACGTTGTGAAAACTCCACCTATTTCCTCACCTTACTGCGCCTACTGTGTGAGAGATGGCTCTCACATGACTGCATACCAATAAAGCCCAAAGTAACAAATACCCGAATGGCTGTGATTTGTCAAGTATCACAAGCAATAACTTAATTCAATCCGAAATTCAACATTTAGTCTTAAGTGAAGCAGAGTTGATGCTTAGAAAGTACTAATTGCAAGAAAACCACATTATTATAGGTACAAATTAAGAATAGTTTTTAATGAAGGTCTCATTATAGGGGGAAGCTGAATACAGTAAACGAACCAACCAGTTTATATGTATATGAAAACAATACAGGTTTGCATGGTAACCTTTTAGGCATAATAATTACAGCCACACCTACATTATACGCATTTTTGGAAAACTTAATATTACAATACAATATTTGAGTCAAAAGTGTTAAAATAACAAGGCTTGCTGATTGGATGCAGAAGTTGAAAACTCTGTAAAAGTTTGATAATAAAAGCTAAGATGTTAACGCTCTTAAAGCCTTTTCACACTCTGTTGAGCATCATCGTGAACTTACCACTTTAAAACAAAGGCACTTTGTGTCTTTTGTTATGTTAATAGTCTGCTGTTGTCACCTAGAACTAGTCATTTTACAAATAGCTTGAATCTTTATTGTGTTAAGGTTGATCAGAAAAGACTTAGAATATGTTCAGAAAAAACAACTTTATTTTGATATATAATAATTTAAGAATACAAGATGTTAGAGGCCAGAATTGTAAGCAGACCTATTTGTTTACAAGGTACAGTGTTGTATAACCCATGATAGAGTGTGTACATCACTTTTCAACTTCATAAACTATTTGGTCACCCAAATGAACCTTTGTTGCATCTTTTTGTGGTCAAGTGTACGTTGCGAGGGTGCCACAAAGCACTACACACATACACACTGTTTATGTCGCTTTAAAGCAGGCAGTGGCGGATTACCCCAATGTGAAACGGTTTTCATCACTGCTGTTACATTAACCGTCCTCTGACGTGCCTCGGGTTCTTGTAGGAAAGGAGTGAAAGTCTCAAACACAGCCCAAGAATTATGGATGGTCAAAGCCACGACATTTGATTCAGAATCATCAGTTTTCGAAGCAAAGAGGAGAAAAGAGTTTGTAGCTAATTTGCGTTTGCTCCTTCCAACACTTTAGAAATGAACTGTTCCTGCAGAATGTTCTTGTCCAGGTTCCGACCTGCAGGACACAAACATCAGGATTGATATAGCACGGCTACACATAAACAGGCACACTTAGGTATTATAGTAATAGACTCAAGTGGGCATGAGGACTTCCCAAGGCAGTACAACACAAAAGACAAAATGGATAAGGCTTTATTTTATGGGTTTGTAATTTCCTTAACATTTCAAATACATTTTCTATATAAAAGAACAAGTCGAGTTGAATTGTTGATTTCCAGAGATTCTACTAAATTAAAGGTCAATAGATACCCAGGGACATGTTTTACTGGAAACATAACCCCTTCATTTTTGTAATTGTTGTATATGTTTACAGGTTAAGCTAACCTACGTTGAACAAAGTACAAGGCTCAAATTAACACTGTCTTTATTTTTCTAAAATCATTTATACCAGATAATTTACTGGGATGTTTTAAGTAATTGTGGAACAATAAAATGAAACTATCATGCTTGCCAATAACTTACTGAAATATATCCTAGAATCAAGAAACAAGTTAACTGAGAATGTCTAAATAAAAGTGGTGTGTAAGAAATGTGTAACGGTGCACACGTGAAAGAAGTGTGTGTGTGTGTGTGTGTGTGTGTGTGTGTGTGTGTGTGTGTGTGTGTGTGTGTGTGTGTGTGTGTGTGTGTGTGTGTGTGTGTGTGTGTGTGTGTGTGTGTGTGTCTTCACCTATAAAGACCAGTCTGTTGATCCGCAGGTTCTCCTCCCAGAGCTGGGGAGTCTCATTCAGGTCATACAGCTCGTGGACCCCCTGCAGCATCACTTGGTGGGCTTTACCTGCAAATGATACTATACCCTGAAACACACAAGTCACAAGTCACGAGTTACACATTAACAGAAACTAAATGAAGCGGTTGGAACTGATTAACACAGATAATAAAGGGGCAGTTATTGATCACTGCTGCACCGGGGGAGACTATTGTGCCTTACTGTACCTTCAACCGAATGACAGTCATGGGTTGCCCTTCTTTGTTTTTAAACATCTTTTCCCAAAGGAGTTCCTGAAACGGTGAAAATGGGTGTTTACTTTACAGAGGGCTGCATTGTGAGAGAGCTAATTAGTAATGGCAACAGAAATACCAACTGGAGGGTACCTGGATGAAAATGTTTAAGGCGTCCTCACAGAGATCTCCAGCCACTTCAAACGTCACAGTTAAAATACTCTGAGGATGACATTAAATAAAACATGAAAGTGTAATCCAATATATACAACTAATTGTATTGACACATTTGAACATTTTATGGTTTTGAAGATATTTTTCTTTCTTTCTGAAATTTAATTTCTATATTTTAATTTCAAAGAGATACAGATAAATTACCCTTTTTGTGAAATTAAATTAGAAGGAAATTCAGATAGGCAGGCTATGATGCAGCAGGGACTTATTTATCTCTAATTCAAAATAGCAGACTTAAAGCAAATACGTATTATCAGTCCAATAACAATAAATAGATTTAAAGAAAAATAGGTACTCATTAGGCACAATGGACAATTCAAAGTGTATATTTGTCATGTATTAATATACATATTCTTTCCTTGATTCATTATCATGAATGCAGATTTAAATGTTAAGGTGGACATAATTTCGACAACTTTGTATATAACTGTTTTATGTAGGACAATATCTCCCACTTAAATGTAGGAGAGTAGGAGTGTATAAATAAAAATAAAATGGAAAAGCCCAAGTAAAGTAGCACAAATTCACCTAAGATAAATACTTGGACAGCTATACACACTGCTTTTACGTGTTGAGATTCTTTTTTGCAATCTGTAATTCAGAGTTAAAGTTCACTGATGGTATTTATTTAAAATACTTTAACATCCATTTGCAGTTTACCGAAACCTACAAAGTCATTATGACCGTTAAACAAAAGAAGTGTCTTTACGCCCCGGCTGATGACTTTGTCAATGATAGTGTCAAAAACCACAACTCCACTCGGCACATGAAACCACTCTTTATCTGCCACACACACACACACACACACACACACACACACACACACACACACACACACACACCATTAAAAGGGGCACTTTGTAGATATTTGGGGTTTTTGTGTTGAAGTGATAAGGTTACACACTTCCTTGTCATTTGGTATAACAACAGAAAAACAGCATTCTCATTTACATGAAAAGAGCAACACGGGGAAGAGGAAGGGGGAGAAAGGGGGAGGGTCTGAGGGACGGTTGAGCCTCATGCGGGAAAGGGAACTTGGAGAAAACAGACAACAATGCCGTTATTTACCCACACAAACAACCCTCATCTCTCCTCATCCTGTGATAAAAGGTCATGGGGATAAAGCACAAGATGAGGCCTAATTGCTGCGAGCACTCATTCGGTCTTAAGCCAGATGAAACATCAAGATAAATGGCATGATCCTGGAATAATCCTGGAATAAGTATGTTTCATTGTTTACATCTTCAATGAAAAGAACAATATATAAAATGATACACAAGAGGTTTCCAATTTAGATCTAAATTCTAATTAAAATCTTAAGCAAGGTACTGAATTTTATGACATCTGGATTTAGATCAAACAAGTGTCGAGTCATAACATGCAGCCAGTCTAGCCAACACAATCTGCCCAGTCTACTGAAAGTCTATGTTGCTGTGTAGGACCGAGACTGGGTCTATTTGCAGTGGGACAAGAAAACATCAAAAGCCTCAAGTGGATCTCAACACAAAAACCAAAGCAGGGAGGGAGTTTTCACTACAGTGTCACAGCCTGGGGGAATGCAAGGCACAATGTTAGCCTCAGGAGAATGCATACCCTTTATCCTGTAGGAAATGATGTGTTGAAATAAATTAACAACCAAAACAAGGAGAAATATAAGACATGCATAGAGGTAGGTTTCGGCAGACAATGAATAAAATGAAAACAATACCTTGTCAAGATGTGGTCTTGAATCTTTCACAAGTTGGAGCCTCTCAGCCAGACTTTAAGAGAGAAATGATCAAATAAATGATTTATTTTGTCCAATATGAGAAACTATTTCAAGCTGAAAGGACAGATCACTACATTGAATTTATTACCTTAACTACATTTGCCCATATCATATCTTATCACAACTGTTAGCTCTAACACCAGGCTAATCTTTGCACATTAGACGACGTGGGACATTTCAGAGCTACATTTTGGGATATTTCCATTTTTTTATAATTTTCTGAGCTGAATTAACATTATTTGTTAAAAAATGGGTTGACATAATAATTAAGTACATTTAACATTATCATCATTCTTCAATATCCCTGCATATCTCTTTACTCTCTATTATGGCCGCTGACACTTAGGGGTATTTTTAAATGTTTAGTTATTGTCCGAGCATTTATTCCATCATATCTGCTCCATAAATAACAATCTAAAATAATTATTTTAAAAGCGGCATAAACGGATTACATGACTTATTTGTTGTTTTCTATCTGATGTTCATTGCTGTCTATCATGAAAAAAAGATCATTAATGTCAAAGAGACTTAACTGGTTAAATTGAGGGATCATGTAACAATGTTCTTTTTCTTCTCCGGCTTGTCTATACAGTTTTGTCTTTGAGTTTTGTCTCACAGAATGAAATCCCTACTGGGAGCTGTATCAGTGCTTAATGACACAACACTGAATGGACTTGTGAAAACTTTAGAAATGCCAATTAAATCCTACAAAACACCAACCACCACCCCCAAACAAACTACTGGCCTTTTTCTACCCATCAGACCTCCTCATCCTCCCCCTTCTCCCTGACCTCACAAGGAGGCTAAATGTTGTGTCCAGCAGCTTGAGCCCTGTGTGCTGTTAGTACCACACAGGCGGAGCGGCGGGGGGCCGCTTCAAACAGCCAGCGTGGGATGGAGGGGAGGAGGGGCCTGGACTCTCAAAGGCAGGGGGAAAGGAGCTATCTGTTGGGACAAGGGGACTCCTCGGGAGCCAGTGGACACACACAGCTCTAATCCTCTGCAGCTGGGCTCAGAGACACTGACCGAGAGCATGTAAGAGAGCTTTAACACCGCGGCCCGTTTCATTCACATGAAAGGATGAACACTGACGCTATTCATGAGAATGACATTCTGCAGGGAATACAATATGATGACCACCCTGCGGTGTAACAGGGGATTGCTCAATAAAAGAGTGTGTTAATTAGAGGGAAACATGATGAGCAACAGTATCAAAGACTGCTGGGTACACAGTTCAGACAGAAGTGCAACAAAGGCTATCAATGCAGTCCAAATAAGTTCTTGATCCGTTACTGTAAGTTTGAAATAGAACACGTTGGGTACTCTACATATTATCAGCACATTGGTTCGGGTATGTGAACGAGAAGTTTCAGTGTAGAAATGCCAAAAATATATTCAAACAGTATAGCAATTAAATATGTTGTCCCCTAGAGAGCACCTACACATGTAATATATCAGCTGTGACATGTCCTGCTACATAGATATTTGTAACACATTTTCATATTAAAAAAATGTAAATACAATATATAAGTGCCTTTTCTTATTTTGCTTCCTCTTCCTTCTGAAGTTAGTTGATCATATGGTTTTTGCCTTTTTTCAAGAAATATGTCGTAATTAATAAACACTGTCACTATAACATCACTGTCAAGGCATTCCTGTATTTATATAAGCTGTAAAATGTTCCATATAATTAACCAAATGTTAGTGATCCTAAAACTTGTTATGTGACTTATCAGCTGTTATGTTTTTGTCACTCAAAAAAAATCTTTTTATTACTGTTACAGTTTTTAGTCGTACATTTCTTGACCAAACCATTATATATTTTTCTGAATAAAGAAATGTTGTGTACATAAAACTTGAATGGAATAAAAACCAACTCACTGCGCTCCATTCGTGCTGTCGAAGGAGTGCAGATCCAATACTTCAGAAAGATCGACCCTGTGAAAGAAGATCTGGTTATAAGGTTATGTTGGCATAAACTAACATCAAGGCTAACCGGGTGAACTGGCTCAAGCTAAAAGTTGTGGGAATGTTTTTCCGATTAACCCCTCACTGCACGGCGTCTTTCATCTGTTCACCCTGGTCTGAACTCTGTGGGGGGGCACATCAGACCCGAAACACACCCAGACCTTTCATACACACTGCTTGTGTTAGCCAGATGCTACCTGGGACCAATAACACAACATGATGCTAACACATAAGGCCAATACACACACATGTTGGCACGCACATATGCAACCATGTCTACTTGAGACCAAGGGTCAAAGAGCAAAGATTTGTGGGTAACTGAACACCATTGAAGGTATGGTGTTTATTCAGGGTGCAGCAGTTTGTGTACGTGTGTGTGTGTGTGTGTGTGTGTGTGTGTGTGTGTGTGTGTGTGTGTGTGTGTGTGTGTGTGTGTGTGTGTGTGTGTGTGTGTGTCAGGGTTTTCCTAAGCAATGTCACGCCTGACTTTGATATGAAGATCTGAGCAGGAGCAGCACGTGGAGTTCATCTGTTTCACCAAACAAAGCAGGAAATCTGGTACAAAGCCATATCCAAACACAATCTTACTTTGGTCTGAAAAACGTACCTCGACTTCTGGCTCTCTAGAATCTTGACAAGACCATTAACAGACCTGAAGAGAAAGGGAAATAAAGTTCAATCTTTTTATAATTTGCGAAACGGACCAAGTTTATTTTACCCTAAGCCCCTACCACTTTGTTTTAGGCCCTTGTCAAGGAGGCAAAATGTGCCGTTTCCAAATGTTACATAAGGATCTCAAATATAACATCAACAGAATACTCCTAAAAAAAAAGAGAATACAAGAAGTCTGTGAAGCTGACCTGACCGCCTCTCGTATTTGGGCAAGTTCCTCCTCATTCACCAGGTCTGTCTTGTTGATGATGGTGAGGTCAGCCACAGCAATCTGCCTAAAAATAATGCAACACAATATTGTTTCTATTTGGAAAGTGACACAATTTACAGGACAGAAACATCAAGAATCACACCAAATGAAGATACTCTGTGTACGTATTGTCATGGCTGGCAGTGGGGAGCTGAGCACTGTTTAGTTTAGAGGTGAAAACACAAACAAAGACCAAGAATGCAAAGGGTCATGCAACTGGTCTGTCTTCATCAGGGTATTTGTTCAACAACAACAGCACACAGCTGCTGGAAGAGACAAACAGACAGACGTCCAGGGAGACAGACAGGCGGACGGCAAGGCTCTGGTCAACAGCACGTTATGAGAGAGAGTGTGGTGGACACTGAGTATTTGGTAGGAATAGCGAGAAATCACCACTTTCATGTCCATACAGCACATGTAAAGCTTGCACCAGCATAAAGTTCAGTATTCAAAATGTTATATCATGTGAGTTTAATCCTTAAGCAGTGTGATTTCTCTTTGTAAGAAAACAAAGAAACTATCAAACTACCGGTAATTATTCAAACGAAACATGAGCAAACATACCTGGCTGCTTCATTGACAAGTCCATCTGCTTTCTCCTCTGTTAGTTGCTAGAGAAAGCAGAGCAGGTGGCAATAACTCACAAATGCATTCAGAAAATGAAAGGACAACTTCTACATTTTAAACTTTAGGCAAAAAAAAACATTGGGGATTTTTGCCAACAGCCGAAAAAAAGGTGACAAATAAATTGGTAAAAGAATGACTTGTCTTTCATCTTTGTAAACTAAGAGACTTTCTCAACACAAATCCACAGGAGATCGCCTTTTCATTTTCTGCTTGTGTCTTGGCTTACACCAGGGATGCAGGCGGCATTTTCCAAAACAGTTTAATATGTAATAACAGAGAGAGCAGGAGGCGTTAATCTGGATCATGACCCCTGAGTGTCAAACTGACATTTATCTGTCACCACATGCATCCCCACCGCTTTATATCCGAAGGAATGAATGACACAAATGTATTAAAAAAAACATAATAGCATGGCCAGTTCCTGCTTTTTTTTATTTAAAAACCTCTGTACCAAGAGACAAAGGCCTTTCGGAGGGTGGGAAGTTTAGAGCTAACTTGAAGCCCTTCGGACAGATGGAGATTTTATGGGACAGATGAAGGGGGAATGCAGGTGAGTAAATGTGACAGTCCTATTACAATGGTCACATGCATCTCTGATATCAATTACTCTTTCACTATCAGTTATCCTCCCCTTCCTTCTGTCATTCTTCCCTTTATCTTGCCACTCTCCAATGAGAAGACAGAACAGCCCCTATAGGCTAAGAAATGTGTCACCTCCCAGAGTATGACACCTTCAAATTAGAGCCCATTATCTAGGTGTCACTTGTCCTGTTTCTTTTATATACCACGGGGAGGGCAGGATGCGTGTGTGTGTGTGTGTGTGTGTGTGTGTGTGTGTGTGTGTGTGTGTGTGTGTGTGTGTGTGTGTGTGTGTGTGTGTGTGTGTGTGTGAGAGGTGGCTATGCACTAGGGGTTTACAAACTATCTCACTAGAAACTAGTTTTAAAGCTTATATTTTAAGTTAAAATAAGCACAAGGTTTTTAGAAATTGCTCAGCAGCAAATAATACTGGCGATGTAATGCAACAAGAAAAGTCGGGCTGCAACAAATTATTGTTTTCAATACTGAATACAGTGTTGATTAATGGATTAATTAAATAAACTATTACATTCGCAATGTTCCACAGTCCAAGGCTACAGCTTTAAAGTGCTTGGTATGTCTGGCTCACTGTCCAAAGTCCCAATATATTACATTTTGTATGCATTTGAGAAGCTGCTATGAGCAACTGTTGAGCATTTTTGCCTGATAAATGTCTTCACTCATTTACCAACTCTCAAAAATGTTGTTGTTTGATGTTCTTTTGATTTTTTCCCGCACTAAAGAGGACTTTTGCTGATAAATAAGAAGCCTCTTGAACATTTTGCACATACCTTCAGTCCATACTTGGCGTCGATGACTGTGACAATGCCTAGAATGAACAAAGTAGAAATAAAGTGATCAGAGAATCAAATGTAGAGCCACAACTGCACAGCCTTGTCCAATTTGCCTTTTGGGGTTTAGTTTTGTCCTTTTGTCTAAAGCACTTTCTCTGAGTTACTTGAAGTACACTTTTGGTCACAACAGAGCTGACAGCTGAGTATTTGGGTTGAGGAAAGAGACGCCATTCATGCAACACAAAAAAACTGAAATACAAACAAGAAAATATGTCACCTCCTACAAACTAGACAAGGAAATATATCTTTAATGCTTGACTATAGCTGGAGCTGTAACTGTTTTTAAATGAGCAATTTCCTTGAAAGCACCATCCCCGCTGGTTTAGATCTGGAGTATAACATTTGAGTAGTAGACATTTTGAACCTATTTGACATATAAGTGTTAATTATGTATTGTTTTAAATGGCAGCACCTAAATGTACTTCTCTTCTTAAAGGTGGGGTAGGTAATTTTGGTTGAGTGCGCTAGAATTTGAAAATACACAGCCGGAACAAATCTGCCACTTCCTTACAGAGCCCCTCCTCCAACACACACGCACATGACCAATGAGGGCACGAGATAAGTTTGTGCACAGATGGAAAGCTGACAGGCAGGTAGGCCATCCAGTTATTTTAGCCGGGCCGGCTAAAATGATTGGTCGTGCTTTTTACAGTACTACTTCTTCCACAGATGAATTTTTTATGGATTTTTTTGTCAAAGTACTTAAGATATTCATTGCTATCGGGATGTTAAGAGCATTCCATGGAATATAACAAAAAGTGTATCTCGAGCCGGTTCCTCAAACTTACCTACCCCACCTTTAATTGAATCCAGTAAAACCACTAATGTTAGGTGTAATGTTTAAAACACTAGACAAGTAGATTTAAAGTATTCCCACCACCCAATTTACTGCATGGTGGACAAAGACACTGTCATAGTAAATATCTTACCATCCAAATAGATGTCACTGCCAAGCTCTGCATCGACCCAGAACATGGAGGCCACAGCTCCTGCAGGAGGATATGAACTGGCATGTTACATTGAAAATGGCTGAAATGCACACAAACATACAAATTACATTTTTCAAAAATGTCAGGCAGAAAGGGGTTCTTTCCGTAAGTAAATAGAGACTGTCTTCTTCCTTCTTGGCTTTCCCTCTTATAAATGTAATTTACTCTAATGCAAGTTATTTTATATTTTTCCATTTTGGCTTCAAAAAAATAAAGAGAACAGGAAAAAACATTCAGTCCCCTGGGATGCTCCATGGGGTTCACTGTGGTTGAAAAGACAGCAAATTAAATATTACACAATAATATATTTTTTACTACATTTCGCTTGATAATTGAAATAGGAATAATCTTATCATTACGACATAAAGAGAAAAAACTATTTTCAATTAGATCCACATTTAAGTTTTTCTGTTTAAAGTCCGAAACACTGTGTGCACTTCCTGCTGTCTGAGCTCTGTGAAGCAGAAACAACCAATATCAGAAGCTTTCAATTGTTAATCTCCTGCTGGTACATTTGGTTTGTTTCTATTTTCCTATGAATATGGTTTTTATAAGACCCTATGTTACCATGCCAGCCACAGCTTGTTCACATAATGCACTTTTGTCAAACTGCCAACCGAGAATAAGAAAGCGTTGTAAATATTTGATAGATGTGTAATGAAAACACTGTTTTTGAGTGGCATGTTTCACATAACTCATCCACCCTCTTCCTAAAAAGAAAAAGGAGAATCCCTCGGGAGCCTTTATGATTGACAGCACAGCCACAGCCAATGACAGACCTGTCCTCGTCAATAACGAGTCTGTCTCAGCCAATGACACGGCGGAGGAGTGAGGACAGCCCGGCCTAAGCGTGCTCTGTTGGTTCTGTCTGTGAGGCCGAGTGGTGTGTGTCGCTACCTCCTGACACCTGTCACTAAGCAACACACCCCGGTTGTCACAGCGCTATTGATTCCCTGATTCAGAGCTCAGAGCTGAACGGACAGCGAGGGGTTTTCTGGCTGCCCTGAGGAAAATAGGCTCTTTGGATGCTCCTGTCAAAGCTACACAAGCCTGGTCCTCAGAGTTGGAAACATGTTTCACTTCTGGAAGAAATATCCAGGGCTTTATCCTTCATTAAGATAGATACATAGAAAAAGGGATCTATGAGGCATCTTTAAATATGTATGTGTACCAGGAGTGTCAAGTCGTTCTCAGTGGATAAGAGAAAGAAGCAGCACTCTATTGTTTTTTTAAATAAAGAGTGCTGAAACTTGACCTTGTATTGCTTGTAGTAACTAAGAAATTAGAAATATTAAGAACGTTTTAGAAAAAAGTGTTTATGTGTGAAAGTTTGGCGTGAGTAACTTTTACCTTATGTCTTAGGTTTGTCTTTTAATTGAATTCAACTTTATTTTGTGTGTTTTCATTTGCAATCAGTTGATATAACTTTTACAAATATATATTTATATCCTATACAAAATAAATACTCATAATCTTATACACACTTTACTACTTTAATGCCACATTTAGCAGCCCTATATTCTGAATCAGGAATCCATTCTGAATAAAAAGGGGACTCCACAAATCAAAATCCAATTGAATCGTGAGGCACTGAAACACACCCTACTGATAATACCAATCCTCAGGTGGTATAAAGCTTTTTAAAAGTATTTCCTACTCATTGCATTTTTTGCATTAAGCAGATGTAGCTGTCCCCTCATTGCATTTCGCCAACACAAGACACAAGTCTCCTCTTAGTGAACCTTTAAAGTGACTTTTCAACAGGAGGGAAACAAATGTCTAGTTGCTCCGCCAGCCAGAGCTTAAAAGATATACGGCTAATCCAATGATCAAATAGAGATTTGTATGATAAATGCTCGCATTTTAACTTAACTCAGAATGTGTAGTACCTGGATCAGCGAGTCCAGTGGTTTCCAGCAGGATGTAGTCAAACTTTCCTTTCTTCTGCATTAGGTTCTCGATGGCTTTAAGACCATTGTCCCTAAATCATTAGGTAGAAGACCATAATGAATAAAATGGCTTATGTAGGACTCTAGAACAAAATGTCAGCAAAACAGACAAGCAACCAAGTACAAACTGTAATCTAATGAAAAGATTGGTTGAGTTGTAAGAACTGGTCTCTTGATATATTATACCTCAAGAAAATAATCAAAAAACAATATTATAACCATGGGTGCACATCACTTTTTTGCCCTGGTTCTCAAAGGAGTACCTGGAGATGTTGCTTGGTGCGCATCCTTAAAATGAAATAAACCGGACCTTTTGAGGGGTACTTGACTTTACGAAAAGGGGTGGGGGGAGGTGCGCTAGTGAGCACGCTCATGAACTGTTCGCTGTTCACTGTATGCCTCGCAGCAGGGATACTGTGCGGGGTGCATAAAGCAGACCCTTCACGCGATAGCGAGGGGTAGAGCGAGGGATCGCAGATGCCATCGTGCTCGCGGACGGATTAAAAAAATTAAACCTAAATGGCTCGCGAATTATACTTTGGCGGCTGTTAATATACCTGGGCGGCCCAGCCAAGTAAAGTCTATGTGTGGGAAACCCTGCTATCTTACCAGTTCTTACGCAACTCGCAAATATCTCTCTCTCATCTCTCTTTTCTATCTCTCTCTTCTCTCATCTCTCTCTCAATGTTGGTGCGCAAATGCGCTTTTTTTCAAATGATCCGGTGCTCCTAACCTGCGCACCAGTTATGTGCAGCCCTGATTATAACGCACTCATTAGCTTAGCAGTTCATAAATGTATGTTAAAAGGTCAGACATTAGCTTAAGAATTCAAACTGAATGAATATATTTGAAACAAAAGAAGAAACAACAAGTTCAATCTTTAATTTCTGATTTAAAAAAAACTCCAAATAGACTCTAGTCACTGTACATACTTGACAGAGCAGCAGAGGCAGCCGTTTCTCAGTTCCAGCCACTCCTCGTACAGCTCTCCTGCCTGACTCACTGCGAGCGACTTCTCCAGGGCGCTGCCTGCAGGTGGAGGATGAGAAAGGTCAATCAGAATACAATTAGTTGATAACAAATTGGCTAACTACCAGGTATACAATATTGCTATTTATTTTTGCACGAATAGCTATTTCAGAAATGGTAGGTATACATACAGGTTTTTTGACCACTTCAACAACTTCGAGCAAAATAGAAAACTGGCCAAACCAGCCCATTGTTTATTCAACATTAACGCTAAGTTATGATACTCTAAGAAAGAATGCAATTAAAAAATATATGTTGTCGCAAATATGACACCTGTTGCTGTACCAGTTTGTATCAGAACTGTGGATCCTTAGTAATAAAAGTCATCTATGAGCTGTTTGCAGTTTAGGCAAAGTTGCTACTATGCTGCCCTCTTGTGGTAAACTGAGGGAATAACAACAAAAGCATCATGTGTATTACACATATTTGTTCACAACATCTTTGTAGGAGCCATTTTATGAGTGTTGTTGGTGTCTCAGTTTACCTTATTTATATTTATAGTGCAATACTATTTTGAACACTTGGTGGCGGGGTTTAGCTGCACCGGGTGTATAAAGAGGGGTCACAGGTGACAGGAAAGGACGAGGACACAGGAGGAAGTGCACACCGATTCCACCAGCCCGGCAGATGCTCACACCACAACTATTGACACAGTGTAATTAAACCTTGGTATGTAAAGCTAAATAAACATAATTATAAACTGCAGAAAAAGACTGGAAATCATCTGTTTGTGTCTACGTCTGGATCACTCTAAACCCTCCTGTGAAGTAATGGCAAAGAATATAGGACATTGGAACAGTTAAAATTGCCATTGAGTGGAATCGGTGTTAAGACCTAACAAAAATAATTTCTACTAATTATGATTTATTTAAAAAGGGCATTGTTAGCTCACCC